AGAGGCACGGGCGGGATTGTGGAATCAATTTTGCTGGAGATGACCAGGGCCAGTCTTGTTGCAAAATCGACAAAGACGAACTGGACAATTAACCAGAAGATGAGTCAACGAAAGACTACGGTTTTTGACAGTAATTGTAGGCAGTTGACCTCTGTGGTGAAGGTGGTGAAGGAGAACTCCGAATATGGGGAGTGGCAAGAACAGAGTCCACAGGGTGCAGATGGAGAGTACCAAACCTGGTTTCCTCTGACAGGAGTTCAGAAATTGCTTGCTTAAGAGTGGGTAAAGGAGTGCGATGAAGGAGAGATGCGCGTACTGGCTCAAAACGGGGAGTGAGAGCTATGAGAAACTGAACCAAGCGCTGTGGGTCACGGTAAGTAGTAAACAAGGCAGCATCCTCAGTATGAGGCCATGGAGGTTCAGAAAGAGCGAGCTGATCCCAAACATAATACAGTTAGGAGAGGAAATCATTAATGGTCTGAGTGGTATCTTGGCGCATACGGTGAAGATGACTCAAAAGCTGATATTGGTGAGCAAGGCCAGTAGTTTGATAGCGTTCTTGTAAAAAATCCCAGATGGCCTTGGCGGGAGAGGAAGCAGAGTCAAGTTGGAACCGACCAAACTGAAGGCTAATAGATGTAATAGAAGTATTGCGAAGCCAAGTGATGATCTGATAGTTTTTACTATCCCAATCTTCCAGTCGGTCGACATATTTGGCAGCGGAGTCCGTGGCAGCTGATGCTGTGGTCCCTTGGACGGGTTTGCACACATCCCCAGTGATGATGCGCCAAAGTTTCTTCCCTTTGAGAAAGCCAGACATGGCTTGTGCCCATAGGACATAATTAGTCCCATCAAGAACAACGGAAATAGGGTGGTTAGAGGAGTCCGGCGATCCATAAGAGAAAAATAGCACAATCGAGGTAGAATCTGAAAAAACTGAGGTTACCAGTGAATTTAGATGGTCGAAATCAGTAGGAAAAGGAGTGAACGGACCAAAAATATGACCAGAAAGGCAATAAATTGATTAGTCAAAGTGAGTTGACTGTTCTGGTCAACGAATCTGGTCAAACAAGGATGATGTCACTGCTGCAGGGATGATGTCACAGGCGCAGCGCACGTTAGCATAGAGGTGTGCGGCGTACGTTAGCAGGGGAGAACAAGCGGCGTACGGAAGCAGCCAGGGTTGACGTCGGCTGACGTTAGAAACACGCGGCTCACGTTAGCAGATGAGGCTGCGGCGCACAATAGCACCGGATAGTGTAGAAGGCGCGTAGAGCGCGTGGCCTAATGTTCTGGCAGCGCGTGGAGGCGCGTGAAACGTCGGATGATGATGAATCTGGTGGCGTTGGCTTCGTCGTGAAGAGACGAAGGTGCTGGTGTTGTCCAATCTATAAATTAGATAAGGACGAGATATGCAGCAATCTGCCAAGCAAAAAAAATATGATGCAGCGGAAGAAGAGACTAGGAAAAACACCTGTGCTTTGATACCATGTAAAATAAGTTGAGAGAGTGATATTGAAAGAGTAAACTCTGTTGTTCAATCTATATTCAGAAACCAAATAGAGGCTCCATTATATAGGAGCTGTGTTATAAAACATCATTATGATACAATTCAATATAATAATGAAAAGAAGACCGAAAGAAGACGGGCGACCGAAAGCAGGGACAAAGAAATGGAATCCTATCTAGCTAGCTGTATGACAATTATGTGCTTTGATACCATGTAAAATAAGTTGAGAGAGTGATATTGAAAGAGTAAACTCTGTTGTTCAATCTATATTCAGAAACCAAATAGAGGCTCCATTATATAGGAGCTGTGTTATAAAACATCATTATGATACAATTCAATATAATAATGAAAAGGAGGCCGAAAGAAGACGGGCGACCGAAAGCAGGGACAAAGAAATAGAATCCTATCTAGCTAGCTGTATGACAATTATATTATACATACTATAATATATTAACATATTATATTAACAGTATATTAATATATTAACATACATAATCTTTTCTCCCTTAAATATTATTTGGGCATTATTTTTATATGGTGAAAAAATTATGAAAAATTTTAAAACAGTGGGATAACAAAAAAATTACAAAAATATGTGAGGTATAAATAATTTTATGATGATGTCCAAGTGAAAAGTTATAGGGGTGCAAGTGTGACTTGCACCTTTCTATATCTGTATATAAAAAAAAATGCTCCTACTGAACTATAATTCTTCCAAAAATTATTCTATACCCTATGTGACACTATCACGTCAATGCTAATGAATAATTGCTCTACATGGTGAGTTCTGGCATCATTGTTTTACATTGTTCATTTTGTGACATTGATTTGTTATTTTTCAAAAACAAAATAAAATGATGAGTCAACTAATCAATAAAAAATAAGTTGAAATCTGAGGTGAATTTGTCTTGAGATACTATGGCCTATGATACAGAAAAGTCAAAAAAATAGTTGACTTTACTATGAGTCATTTTCAACTATTTTAGTCAATTACGAAAACAACACTATAATTTTTCCATTAAACTAATGCACTTCTTAAAACATTATTTTTATTTTATAATTGAATTTTATTAATATTTTAAATTCAAATAATTATTAAAGGGATTTAAAAGTTCTGTAGGAGGTTTGAGATTTAGAAATTCTTTTAAGATTCAGACTAAGAATGACTAAGTTATGAAAGATGTTGGCTTGAGCTTGAGATGATGCACATACTCTTATTATTATGTAGTACCGGTCTAACCCGAGCGAGACCCGCCTTGATGTTTGTCCCCCCCTCCCTAGTGAACATTGATATTAATTAATTTAATAATTGTACAATGAACATAAAAGTTGATTTCTAGTATTCTGGAGATCTACAATGAACATTAATTAATTTAATAATTGTACTCTCCTCTAATCTATCTACAATGAACCATTCAATAATTTAATTTTACCAAGAAAGATAATCTGGGTTCTGTGGTTCAGATTGTTAGTTTTATTTTTGTAGCAAGTGATAAGAATCCAAATGACTTGATAATGAGATTCTATCTCAGGTAGTCCAAGCAATTTTTTTTCAGATGTGGGTCTAGTAAAAGATTATCTTACTATTCTTTTCAAGAAAAATGCATCTTTGACAAATTTATTTATAGTTCATTTAAATTAAAATGCGATATTTCATCCTTAAATAGTTGTAAAAGGTTATGATACAACATTTTAAATTTTGAACTTTTTTTTTTTTTTCAGCTCAAAATACTTTTTTTTGAGGCTGCAAATTGTCTCTAATTCGCCATCATTCATGAAAAAAATAATAATCAGCTTGCTTATTTTCATTTTTCAGAAAACACTTTTCAGAAAATTCTACATTTTTCGTGTTTTTTTTGTTTTTACTGAATTTTTTTTAATATTCCTAAACCCTTGATAAATGGGACACATTCAAGGGCAATATGACCAAACCCTTAACATTCAAGTTACAGTGTAGATTTTCTTTCAATTCTTTTTCGAAGGACATTCAAAGGCAATATGACCAAACCCTTGACATTCATAGCACTTGACGTCTTGCTCCTTTACAATCTTCTTTTCAGTTTTTGGAGCAAATTTTGGTGGAAAAATTTTGAGTTTTTCATTACTCTTGTCTTTTGAAATAGGGTCTCTGAAATTAGGTTTCCTTTTCTTCAAAATTTTTTTAAACTGTTTAGTAAACATAGCCGTCATCTCAGACTCTAAATTAAATTCAGTCTCCGGAGTTTTTGCAGTCTCATGAGCACTAGTGAAAGCCATACTATCTTTTTGTTTTTCTTTGAAATCTGGTGGGTTTCATAAGTCAGCAAGTTTCCAACCAACTGATCAAGCTTAAGGGTGTCAACATTCTGAGCCTCCTCAATGGCTGTCACTTTTGATTGGAACCTCTCGGGTAAAGACCTCAAAATTTTTCCAACAATTTTAGCTTTAGGGATTTTTCACCGAGTGTGAAACAGGAATTCACGATATTACTAAGTTTTGCATAGAAATCATCAAACGTCTCATCATCGCACATAAAAAGGGTTTCAAAGGCGGAGGTGAGACGTTGAAGTTTTGACCTTTTGACAGAAGTAGTACCTTCGTGAATTATTTAAAGAATGTCTCAAGCCTCTTTTGCTACCTCACACGTGCAGATACGACGAAACTCTTCAGGTGTGACAGAGCAAAACAGGGAATTGAGAACCTTACTGTTCCAACTCGAGTTTTGGTAATCAGTTGCGTCCCATTTATCAAGAGTTTAAGCAATTTTTTTTTCTTTTTAGACACACCTAACATAAATACACCTAAAAAGTAAAAAATTTGTAAAAAAAATCTTTTAAAAATTCACTAAATACCAAAAATACAAAAAAATATATATAAGAATTCAATACATTTTTTTGCATTTTTTTGTATTTATTAATTTTTTAAAATATTTTTTCACAAATTTTTTACTTTTTAGATACATCTAACTAAGGTGCATGTAAAAAAGTAAAAAAAAAAATGTTTAAAATTTAAAAAATATTCACTAAAAATAAAAGAATACGAAAATAAAAAAAACTCAATTTTCAAAAAACTTAATCCAAAAAACTCAAACCAAACACACTCAATAATATCAAATTAATCATAAGTATCAATTTAAAAATTGATCATTTATTTTTTTTAAACAAAAATAATAAATTAATGTGACTATGATCAACATATCAATATGTTTTATGTGAATAATCTACACAGGAGCCTACAAATCGAACAAACTAGATCACCAAAGTAAAATCAGTGATGAATCTCAAGAACCCAAGTTAACTATCCCGTCCCCTTTTTTTAAAACTGATTTGGAGATTTTTTTTTGTTTTTTTTAAAACCACAAATAAGCTCCCGTCAAATCAAAAAAAACAGCAGGAAAAGAAAGAGACTACACGCAAGAATGGATTTTTCAGCTAGGCTGGCAAGAAAAAAAAAAAAAAAAACTAATTGCCTGAGCTTTCTGACTCATATTAGCCCTTGAATGAGAAAACAAAGCATATTAAAGCACGACAATTCCACATCCTTAAAAAAGGAGAGAAAGAGAGAGAGAGAGAGAGAGACAGAGAGATGGTTTAACCATGCAAACAAAAACCACTGTCATAGCAAACACACTCGCACAAACCTTGGGGCCACCATTGACCCATTCCAATTATTTTTATGCTCAAAAATTTCCACGTTCAGACCCCAATCTGCTTGGAAACTTGGGACCAGAGACAAAAAAAATCATTAACCATATGTATTCAACGGAGACAAATATCATTGAATGAGCTGCCTTTGAAATCTTGACTTCGGCGTAGAATCTTAAAGAATCTCCCAACTACCCTCCAAATACTTCTCTACATTCACTACCATCTCTCCACCCACCGCACCCAAAAATCTCCACCGTCCGATCATTACAATATAAGAAATTCAAACTTGATCGTAACCAACCAACATGACATTGGACTTGTTTCTGTAAAACACCAAGGGTTGTGCCTCAACTCTGGCGGAGGAACATAAACCAAGTTAGAGAGTTTTGAAACCAAAAATGGCAGATCCATCATTGGTGGTTCCGATTGCATACCGAAACAGCTCCACCGCCGTGCCTGACTGGCTAAACAAGGGAGACAACGCATGGCAATTGGTCTCCGCGGCACTGGTCGGCATGCAAGGCATGCCGGGCCTAGTGATCCTCTACGCGGGCCTTGTAAAGAAGAAATGGGCACTTAACTCAGCCTTCATGGCGCTCTACGGCTTCGCAGCGGTCATGCCTTGTTGGGTTTTGTGGGCTTACAAGATGTCCTTTGGCCACCGCCTCCTACCCTTCTGGGGAAAGGCTGGCCTCGCCGTCTCCCAAGACTATTTGATCCCGCAAGCCCTTCTTCCTTCAACACTTTACAAAGGCGGTGTAACTGCGGCAATTCAACCATGGTATCCCATGGCAACTATGGTGTTCTTTCAATATGCTTTCGCTGCTGTGACTGTCATACTCCTCGCAGGTTCTCTGTTGGGTCGGATGAGTATCAAAGCTTGGATGCTTTTCGTTCCTCTGTGGATCACATTTTCCTACAGTGTTGGAGCTTTCAGCGTATGGGGCGGAGGCTTCCTCTTCCAGTGGGGCGTCATGGATTACTCAGGCGGCTATGTCGTTCATCTAGCCTCTGGCGCCGCGGGATTCACAGCTGCATATTGGGTAAAAGAATCACCACTCCGAATTGTTTTTTGGCAAAAAAGCTATTCTTACATAAAATTCATATAGAATCGGCCATTAAAATGATGTGACAGTGATATTTTTGCAATTAACCGTTATCTTGGTGGGCATTTTGTTTGAAATGATAGGCTTACAATGCTGCAACTATCATTCTGTACCAATTTTCTGTATATATTTTCTGTTTGTGTAAGTAGACTTACTTTGTTTCTCTCTGTGAAGGTGGGACCGAGATTACAGGAAGACCGGGACGAGTTTCCGCCAAATAATCTCTTGCTCGCACTGGCCGGAGCTGGTATTCTGTGGATGGGATGGACGGGTTTCAATGGAGGCGATCCTTTCGCTGCTAACGTGGATGCCTCCCTCGCAGTTCTGAATACCCATATATGTGCAGCAACCAGTCTCCTTGTATGGACTTGCTGGGATGTTCTGTTCTTCAAGAAGCCATCAGTGATTGGAGCAATCCAGGGAATGATTACTGGGTTGGTATGTATCACTCCCGGCGCAGGTGAGACCCCCCATCAAACTGAACAAACCAGTTCTCAACCTTTCAGTTTACTCATATCCTACGAAGTATGGATACAAACAAAGACAGATTCTGAAAAAATTAGAATATGAACATGGCAATAATGCAACAAAAAAATATATATATATATTTTATTTGCTATTTGTACGAATATAAATTTAGAGCACGGACATACAAGAGACAAAAGTATATACATAAATGTCTTTTTATTTTTTTCACTTTTCACTCTATGTTTCCATATGTTTAATTTTGACCCCTAATCAACTTCAGCATAAATAAATAAATAAATAAATAAAGCCAATAACAACAACAACAACAATGTTGTCTTGTGTCTAAATACAGGGCTGTAAAGAACATAATAATTTAAAAAATAGACATGTCTAGTGGTGTGTCCAACACAAGGACACACATGCCTTCGGCATATGGGTATCCAATACGTGTCGGACATAGAGATAACACCCGTTTTGAAGTGTCTATGCTTCTTAGCTCAGATGCTTTTTCCATTCCCTAACTCGTTCTTTGACTCAGGTCTGGTACAAGGATGGGCTGCACTGGTAATGGGGATAGCTTCAGGAACTATTCCATGGTACACCATGATGAGTCTGAGCAGAAAGCTCCCATTACTACAAAAAATCGACGACACACTCGGTGTCTTTCACACTCACGCTGTTGCCGGGACCTTAGGCGGGGCTCTGACAGGGCTCTTTGCTCATCCAGACCTCTGTAGCCTGTTTCTGGCAGTACCTGATTCGGAAGGAGCGTTCTATGGCAAAAAAGGTGGAGTCCAATTCCTGAAGCAGTTAGCGGGTGCATGTTTTATAATAGGATGGAACGTAGTCGCAACATCCATCATTTTGCTGGTGATTAGGTTAGTGATACCTCTTCGGATGTCTAAGGAAGAGCTCAAGATTGGGGATGATGCGGCTCACGGAGAAGAAGCCTATGCTCTTGCTGGACAAGGGCAGAGAGAAACATATTCACACAATGGAAGAGTGGAAGATGGTGTTGAGCTCCAGCAAGTTTGATATGGGTTTCATTTCACATAAAAGAAACAGAGAACAATAGGAAAAGTTCAGCAATGCCAGCACAGATTTATAATGTAAAAAGTACCAATTGTTGTTTAAATTGTATTTGTCTTACAGTCATGAGATTTGTAGTATACCTGCAACGTTCTGTATTTCATTGATACGATATACAAAACTTGAGGTTATTTTTTTAACTATATATATACTTATTCTGCTAGCAGTTTGAGACTCTGATTTAACAATGCTTGCTCAATTTTATCTGAAATGTGAAGCAGAAACCGGCTTATAATGAAGGTGCGACATGGTGCATATTTAAATCAAACACACTTTTTCCCTCCCCATATTCAATGGGAATAACAATAATAGTTAAAATAAAGAGGAAAGCACATGTCACCATTTTATAAAATGAGAAATCCAGTTAAGAAATCAAGTAAAAAAAACGAATAAACCCACAGAAGTGAAATAGAAGGAAAATGCTTGGTGCTGACTGGATTCTGGGAAATTATACCAAAGTCCTAGACAAGGTTTCATCATCAAATTGAAATCATCACCGTTCACGTTTTCCTCATGTCATTGAATTTCTTGTTTATTTATGCAATTAGTATTCACTCTTGTCAGTAACCATTAGATATCAAACTTTCTTACATTACCAAGTGTCAATGCTTCAAAGAAGGAAGACCAAAACATCTTCCATTCCAAACTTGTTTCTCTATGTATAGTGTTAGCTTTATATGGAAAAGTAGATATTTTTTAATACCTAACGTAAGGAGACTCGAACTTAAGTCTCTTTATTGGAAGGAATACAACCTAAACCGTTGCGGGTGTTCCCCAGGGGACTATATGGCAAAGTAGATATTATCTTCACCTCTTGACTTTTAACACCTCAACAGGAGGAGAAAAAATACATAACACAAGCATATATTTGAATTTGACTAATATTTATCAGGTAGAAATTATTGCATCTACACAAATATTTACTAAATCCATTATTTAATACCCTTTGACATTTTTTGTTAGCGAAATCTGAAGAAACTCCTTTGTGCAAATTATGCCAAAGGTTAAGTATTGTACTCAATCTCCTTCCATCCCCCAACCAATGGGGACTAAACTGTGCCTGCAAAAACCCTTTTGATAATGGTTTAGCCCTTGCCCTTTATTCATAGTAAATTTAAAATCAAGTAAAAAACTCCCAAAACCCTCTCTGCTCCTTTATTCAAACTTGTATCAAATTGAGTTTTTCTTAATTTCTTTTACCCAAATCAAGAGAGACTCGGATGTTTACTCAGAGTTTTGAAGGGTCTTATGTGGTTTTTAAATTTATCACTCAGCCATTAGGGAGGGAAGTTTGTACACAAATTTATGCTTAAATCTGAGTTTATCCATTAGAATGCTTCATATCAAATAAAGTTTTTACTCAAATTTGTGAAAAGGTCACAAGTGGACAAGAAGGTATAGAATAGATTACCATTAGCTAAAAATCAAGTTTGAACTTTAGGAAGGGCAAAGGAATTAGGTGGAATTGGGTTAGGTAGGACTTTGGTTCAAATTACCTAATTAGAATTGGGCAAAAAAATTCAAACTATCAAAATAAAGCAGACCACATATTTCAAAAGGCAATTGACCAGAACAAGTAAGGATTGAAGCAATATTGATGCTGTTAAATATCTCATTTGGAGAAAGAAATCAAAGAAAGTGAAAAAGGCACAGAACCCAGAAAAAGGGAAAGTTACCCAAATTTCTCATGAAAAAACAACAAGAATTACCAAAATGAAGTGGAGCAGCTGGTTAGGGCCACGTGCTTCCTTGATCTTCGATTTTGCTTGCCTCACCTTCCCGCTCGATCTCTTCATTCGACTCCCAAATCTCTCGATAAGCAATTCGATAAAGTACTCGAAGCTAATGGGTTTCCTGGGAAAGAAAATGGGTTTGGCAGAGTTTTAGCTCAAGGATGGTAATTTGAAACCGGCCTGATGGGTATCAGATCCCCGATTCCGAATTGAATGGGTTTTTTCTAAAAAATATTTCTATGGAGATAGGGATGGTATTTAAAATTAATTTCCGAACAGATTCGGGTCAGGGACGGGGATAAGTGTTTCAACCCCGTACCTGGCCCGGCCCCGTCCCCATTCTCCGGCCCGATTTATCCCCGAACTTATCCCCGTATATATATATACTTTCCTATTCACTATCTACCCTCATCTATTTCACAAAATCCATTCTCCTCCACATTACTCTCTCTCTCTCTCTCTCTCTCTCTCACTCTTCTCCTCACCTCTGTTGCTGCCTTGTCACCGACCACCACCAATCGTCAATGGAAGAACCACTCTCTTCTCTTCTCTCCTCTCCTCTGTCCCTCTCGGTCTCACGCTTTCTCTCTCAGATTTGATCACACCCCGTGAATCACTAACAGATCTTGAATCACCACATCGCTGATCGCCAACAGATCGTGAATCACTCTCGGAATCAGATCGTGAATCAGCCAACAGATCGTGAATCAGCCCTTAGATCATGATTCATGGAGTGAACCGTGAAGCGCTCTCTCTCTCTCTCTCTCTATATATATATATATATATATTTTAGATGATGAACTTCTTGTTGTTGATGATGAAATTTTCTGAAAATTTCTAAAACTTTTCTGAATTTTTTTTTGTTTCAGATCTGTTTTTAGATAATGAACTTCTTGTTGTTGTTGACGATAAGTTGTATTTTCTGAAACTTTTTTTAGATGATGAACTTGTTGTTATTGTTGATGATGAAATTTTCTGAAACTTTTCGGAATTTTTTTTGGTTTCAGATTTGTTTTTAAATGATGAACTTGTTGTTGTTGTTGTTGATGATGAGTTGTATTTTCTGAAACTTTTTTTAGATGATGAATTTCTTGTTGTTGATGATGAAATTTTTTGAAATTTTTTTTAGCCGGGGAATGCTCGGGGTCGGGGAAACTCGATCCCCGTTGGGGGCAGGGGTGGGGATAGTGACAGATTCCCCGTCGGGGATCGGGGCCGGGGCCGGGAAAAATTCAAGCATCGGGGATCAGGGACGGGGAGTGTGATCCCCCGCCCCGCCCCACCCCGTTGCCATTCCTATTTTAGCTGAGGGGCTCGAGAGAGGAAAGGGTTCATACTCAATGATAGTGTGGCGTCTTTGCTCCTTCCCTCGGGACGGTTGCTCTATTTCGTTACAGATATCGCCAATGTTAAAGAATAGAATAATGTTATATTTATTAATCGATAATGTGATATAATTTTAAAGTAAAGCACCAATAAATTTTAAAATTTAGTATTGTTAATTGATTAGTCCTTGGAATTTTCAGATGAATCTAAAAGTCCTCTTTTAAATGAAATTACTGAAAACGATGTTGTAAACACACGCATGTAAGTAAAACGAGGGGTAAATGTGGGATTTAACTTAAAGGCCCCGTTTGTTTGGAGTTATAGGGAGGAGATTGGGATTGATAGTGAGGTGGGACTACTATATAGGGTGTTTGTTTTGAGAGATGAGGAGGGAACTGCTAATCCCTTGGTATTAGTAAAGGACTTGGAAGGGGGATTGGGAAGGAGGAGGTAGAGATGGTATTAGAAAAATAGCGAGGGGATTAGAATTTTTTTTTATTTTTTATATATTGGGAATTTTTTTTAAAATATTAATGTTTAATTTTTTATATTTTTTTATTTGTTTTATTATTTTATATAAAAATAATTTAATAATTCCACACTATCAATCCCCTCACTAACAATCCCCTCATTATTAATTCCCTCACTATGAATTCCCTCCATTCTACCTCTGAAAACAAACGGGCCCAAAGGGAAATTACACATTTGCACCAAGCTTACTATGTACTTATTTTGTTTTCCTTCCTTCGTGATCGAATCCCACATTATTAGAGATGGAAAGATTTCCTATTCGAATGTAGATTTCGTTTGTTATTGATATGTCATTGTGTGTCAATGTTCGTGGTTGTGTTTCGCTGAAGGTGTAACATTTACTTTGTTTTGAAAGCAGAAACCGTTCATTGTGCGATCGAGGATTTGGGTTTTGTTCCAGAAATTGTTGAATTCGTTTTGGAAAATTTGTTGCACAAGGAATGACGACGGCACAACAAGGTTAGTAATGGTTGTGTGATTTGCAATGGAATTTGGGAATCGTCATATTAGGGTTTGGTACTGTGTAGATAGGGGTTCTATAATAATGGGGTTTAATACTGATGTTTGCTGCAATGTTTGTGTGTTATGTGGTTGTGGTTTTCGTATAACATTATCGTACAGTTTAGTTTAGGCCGGTGTTTGTTTGTTTGACAATGTTGTATAGTGTCAAATCATGTATCCCCGTTTGATATGTTTTGCTGGTTGGATGTTTATTTACCATTGTTGTCTAGGGTTTTTTGTTCGGTGTTAGATTCTTTAACAGGGTTGTGTAGTGTCGAAGCATGTGTTCCCGTTTGGAGTTTTTTTTTGGTTGGGTGTTTATTTTAGCATTGTACGCTAAGAAATGTTGACATTGTTGCAGTGGATTTTTTGCTCACTCAACCAGAAAAATACACTGCAAGAAATTCACTGCATGGTGTACATATTTACACTGGAAAATACACCATGTATTTTACCATTGTACACATTGAAATATTCACATTGATGCAGTGGATTTTCTGTTTACACTAAGAAATATTTACATTTCAATGCAATGGATTTCTCTGTTAGTTGTAAGTTTGTTCGACAAAGTTGTATAGTGTTGAACTATGTGTTTCCGTGTGATGGGTGTTTGTTTGTTATAGTTAAGTGATTGGTTGGGTTATTGTTTTGTCATGGTTGAATGTTATGTGGTGATTTTAGTTTTTAAAATATTAGAGAAACACATCTAATGTAGAATATTTGAGGTGAATGTGAGAAGAAGGATTGTGGGGTTGATGTGCACGAAGTTTGTTGTTTCGATATGTACTAGTTGCGTTTGCATTGTTAGTGTGTTCTTGTTTTGGTACGTGACTGACGTGTTGTATTGTGGATGTGGTGAAAATGTGTTTAGTGTTAGATTTGTCTGTAGTTGGTTCTATGTTACAATGTTTATATGAAAAGTATGTAATAGTGCATGTGGTAGTCTGCCCATGGTTGATGTGGTTATTGGCAGAA